TTTTGAGTGAAGGACATACATTGGGTTGTTAGGTGTCTTGTGTCCAAATTTGGTGTCAATTCGTCCAGTGGTTTTTGAGTTATGTTAATCCCACAAACGAACATTGCATTTTTATTTATATAGAAGAAGATAAACACCTTCTTTAAGCTTCTCTGCCCGAGAGTACTAGTGCAATTTCAAACTACAGATCCCATGATTCCATAGCCTTGAGCCATGGCAGTTGAGGTGCTGTCAAACTGCATCTATTCTGCAGTGTAGACACCCTAAGCCTCTATATTTCAAGCCAAACCGTTTTGGGAGAGAGAGGAAAGAGTCAAATGCCACTTAGAGACATTAAGCAGCAAGTTGAGCTGGATTCAGGGAGGTTTGCTTCCACATAAACTCAATGTAGGCTTGCAAGAGGGTTTATTTTCCACGATTGACTTTATCAGGACTATTCTGGAGTTAATGGGTGGCAAAACTGAGCATTTAGATCCACCTCGGAGTGGAAGGTCCTTGGATTTTGGGTAGACCGAAGCGGTTGGATCCCCTCAAAACCCGCTATTCATATCAGGGGGGGATTTCAGGCCGCCAATGAGCTGCTGACAAGCGGCAGGCCTAGGTTGCCATCCTCAGTGGGGGCACTTTTCCAAGGCCTGCGCTTAAAGTGGGGGATTAGTCTTAAACCCCAATTACTGCGGCTTAACGGAGCTCCGAGCAAGGCAGGAGGGGAGCGCCTGGGAAGCCAAAGGGGGCTGCGCTTCACCCGGGAGGAGGCTTCCGACGCAACAGGAAGTCCCGGGCTTGAGCACGGATTTCCTTTCCGGGAAGCAGAAGCAGAGGATCTCTGCCTGCCTGTGAAGGCGGGAAAGGAGGCAGAGGGGTGCGGCTACACTGTAGAATTATCACAGTTTGGCACCACTTGGACTGGAATGGCTCCAAACTGTGCAATCATGGGATTGACTGGATCTTTCTCCTTCTCTGCTGGTGCATGTCTCACCAAACTACGATTTCCAGGATTCTATAGGCGATTGCCTTCCTAAACATCTCTTTAATATCATACTGTAGAATTAATGCCATTTGACTATCATAGTTCAATTCTATTGAATCCTGAAGTGGTGGGGCACCAGCACTCTAGAAAAGGCTTGAAAAACTACATTTCCTATGATTCCATAGCATTGACCCATGGCGGGCGGGGGGGGGGGGAGCCATGGGTCAATCCGTCTAACTGCATTAATTCTATAGGGCAGATCCACCCATGAATGGGTTTTCCATTCTGCGCCTTGTACCGTTGGAACTAAAGGTGCGTCTACACTACAGGATTAACGCAGTTCGGATACCACATTAACTGAAGTGGTTCAAAGCTATGGAATCATGGTAATGAAAGTATCACAAGATCTGTCGTCTGTCAGTGTATGGCCTTCTCTGCCAAAGAGTGTTGGTGCCTCACAAAACCGCAGCTCCCATACTTTTAGAACATTGAGCCTTGACGGCTAAAGAGATGTCAAGCTGCGTTAATTCTACAGTGTAGATGCATTCTTAATAGCACGGCTAACTTCAGGCATAGGATCGCTCTTCAACGTCACGTGGTGCCTCCTTGGAAAAAGGATCGAGAACTCATCCAAGCCAGGGCTGGAGCATGGTTACTTACTTAGAAGTAGCTCCTGATAGCAAGTTATCTGTGGTTTAACGCAGTCTATAGTAGAAGAGGCTGTGGGAACTGTACTCCTCCAGCGTCAGGGCAGAGAACTAACTTCTTTCCTTTCCTTTCCTTTCCTTTCCTTTCCTTTCCTTTCCTTTCCTTTCCTTTCCTTTCCTTTCCTTTCCTTTCCTTTCCTTTCCTTTCCTCTCCTCCTTTCTTCCTTCCTTCTTCCCTCCTTCTTCTTTCCCTTCCTTTCTTCTTTCCCCTTCTTTTTCTCCCTCTTCTTTTCTTTCTTTCCTTCCTTCTTTTCCTTCCTTCCTTTCTTCCTTTCCTTCCTTCTTCCTTCCTCTTCTTCTTTCTTCTTCTTTCTTTCTTTCTCCTTCCTTCCTCCTTCCTCTTTTCTTTCTTCTTTCTTTCCCTCCTCTTTCTCCTTCTTCCTTTCTTTCTTTCCTTCTTCTTTCTTCCTTCCTTTTTTCTTCTTCTTTCCTTCCTTCCTCCCTCCCTCCCCTTTCTTTCCTCTTTCCTTCCTTCCCTTTTTTTCCTTCCTTCCTTTCTCCTATTTCCTTCTTTCCTTCTTTCCTTCTCCTTCCTTCCTTCTTCCTTCCTTCCTCCTCCTCTTCTTCCCTCTTTCCTTCCTTTTCCTTTCCTTCCTTCTTCCTTCCTTCCTTCCTTCCTCCTTCCTTCCTTCTTCTTCCTTCTTTCTTTCTTTCTTTCTTTCTTTCTTTCTTCTTTCTTTTTTCTTTCTTCCTCTCCCTTCCTTCCTTCCTTCCTTCCTTCCTTCCTTCCTTCCTTCCTTCTTTTTTCTTCCTTCCTTTCTTCTTTCTTTCCTTCTCTTTCCTTCCTTCCTTCCTTCCTTCCTTCCTTCCTTCCTTCTTTCTT